GAAAAATTTACAGTTAACTCAACTCCATCAGCTTCCAGCTGTGGGAAGAAAAATTCACAGTTAACTCAACTCCATCAGCTTCTAGCTGTGGGAAGAGAAAATCACAACACCATCAGCTTCCAGCTGTGGGAAGAAAAATTCACAGTTAACTCAACTCCATCAGCTTCTAGCTGTGGGAAGAGAAAATCACAACTCCATCAGTTTCCAGCTGTGGGAGGAAAAAAAATCACAATTAACTCCATCAGCTTCCAGCTGTGGGAAATAAAATATCACAATTAACTCCATCAGCTTCCATCTGTGGGAAGAGAAAATCTCAACTCCATCAGCTTCCAGCTGTGGGAAGAAAAAATCACAATTAACTCCATCAGCTTCCAGCTGTGGGAAGGAAAAGTTCCCCAGTGATTGTTACAGTAAGAAACAAAAACACAAATTTCTTTCATTTCTGTTGTGTGTCAGAAATTGCTACTGAATTGGTCTCTGTATTTGGTAATGTAACAACCACATTTAAATCTTCACATACGATAAGCTGCTTTTTTTACGTAACTCGAAACGAGTACTACAGAAAGAACAAAAAACAAGGTGTACATAGTATCTCACGTGAATGTGGTAAGAAATATATTGAACAAATTTATAATTTTTTGTAAATCAGATGCAAAGGGAAAACATTAAGGTCACATCACAGAGGAAAGTCAGCTCATCAATTTTTATTTAGTCATACAATACTTTGGAATCAACTTCTCTTCTTAAAGAAATGATAAAAGCAGGTGATTGAGCTCTACAACTTGACCGTAGTGGTAACACCAGCAAACTTTGGCTGAGTTTATTCTTTCTCATGCTTAACTAGCCCTGACAGTTTTCTAAGGTTATAGACTTTTCTTGCTCTCGCGTAACATCGTTCCTCTGATCGTTTCCCACCCATCTTTGTATGTAAATACGAGTGCTTAGTTTTGTGTCGTACCTTAAAACAACTGGCTCAGGTGTGGTAAAAACATGTTGTGTGGTTTCTTTAAAATAAATATCATTGTGTTAATTTACCGTTGGTTAGTAGTAGTTGTGAATAAATTCTTTGAAATAGTGTGTCACATCTGATGCAAACATTCCTTTTTTTATCTCTTTACTTATAATAATTAGCACTTTAAATTTAAAGTTTCAGATGAGGTTTGGTATTTAAGTATAAATTAAATGAGATCCCATTAAAGTTTCCACCTCTGAAAGAATAATGAAAATGTCAGTGCAGGAAGACAATTTAGTTTTGAACGTGGGCTGACTGTAGCCCAGTGGTTAGCATTCTGGGCCATTGATCTGGGGTTCTGTGATTTTCATCCTGTTACAAGGGAGAAAAAAAAACTCACTCTGCACGTTGGGACCATGTTGCATTATAAGAGTCACAGTCAAATCCCACTGTTTGGTCCGACAAAAGTTGGATGTGGATGATGTTGACTAACTGCCTTCCCTCTGGTCTATCACTTCAAAATTAGGGATGGCTGGCACAGCTAGTTCTGGAACAGCCTTGCACAAAATTCAAGAAACAAACGATTTTGAACGTTATATAGGTTTGGTGCTAAAAGTGTAATTATGGAATGTCTGAGCATTAGAGAGAAATTAAAGTAATTTAAATACAGCAATTACTAAATGAAAGATATAAGGTAGCCCTGTATAATGAAGATTTGGTGATTTTTAAATGTAACTTTCTGTAGAGGAAACACTTTTTTTTTTTCTTCCAGGCTGACTTCACATTCTTCCAGTCCGTTAACTTCTCGGACCAATAAAAAAGGGAAAGTTACTGGACTTCCAGTGTCTTCTCAACTGCAGTGTTCTAAACCAGTCATCATTTAATGTAGAATAAATTATTTAATGAAGTCAAAGTATATACAAGTATCACTTTATTTCTATATTATTAATACTATCTACGTGTAAATTTTAGAATAAATAGCTAGTATATGAATGGTTCAGAACATTCTGTTCATATGAATACTGTATTATTTACTTGTAATGTTGCTCCTCAATACTGAGAAACTACAAATAAATGTTAATTTCATTCTTAGAAAGCTTGATATTTTCATATATATTTCTCGCAGTTCCGAAACAGTCGCTGTAAATTACCCATTAGTTAGTCGATGAGCATTATTAAGTAAGCTTTATAGTACATGAAACTGCTGTTTTTGTTTTTATTAATACTTTAGTTGTGGCTTGTGTTGTGAGTCGTTAAAGAATACGGGATGGTCTTTCCATTGAAAAGTCTTTGTCGTGATGTATTCGGTTTTATTTCTGCTTTACGAAGTTTCATGGAACGTTGATGTGCAAGCCAGTTTTGTAGAATGGAAGATTTAAATCAGTGTAGTACTTACAACTAACTATTGAACTAATTTTTCTGCTTTTTATCATTCGTTCATGATAAATTTGAATATTAAGAGATGCGATTCACACTGAATAATTATGTTTAATATCACAATGAACTTTATAGTCGAGATTTTTAGTTTCAAATTAAATAGGTGTTGGCCATCTAAAGGCAATGGACAATTATTGTTGTTAATCATACGTTGCCTCAAGATGATCGGCTTTTAGGTACTGACATTTCCACCGTAAAGGTAATCACAATATTAAATTTGAATAGTAAAGTGGTTCTTAGGTACTCAAATGTAGCCGTAAATTAGTTGAAAATTTTGTGGTAACTGCTAACAAAATTTTGTTTTACTAAATTTTTTTTGTAGTGAAAAAATTGTTTTTTTTTATAGAATTTTATTGATTTTCAAAAAAATTTTTTATCCAATGTCAAAAGATTATTTTTCATATCTCAATCTAGTTTGGAAGAAAGTCGTGTGATTTTGATATTTTTTTAATAATTTAAAATACGTGTCAAGTCATACAAGGATACATAATCAGGAAAAATTATCATAACTTGTAAAACCTGAAATCACATTTTGTAACAGACTTGGAAAAAAAAAATACATTACTTACTGGTTGAGTCACAAACGGATGATGGAAGAATGGTTTCAGCAGATATCGCACGCATGTATTTAAAGATTACAAAAATGTGTCGTTAAACTACATTTACATTGAATATAACAGATTCGATTTGTTATAAAGTTTTAGTTGAGATGTTTAATTGCTCGTGTTGCTAACAGGTGGGGCTAGTGAACTATATTTGCTAAAATTGAAATTTCAAACCAGTATTAGCAAGTTTTCTTGCAATCACTGTACCTGCCATTAAGTGTTTAACAGAAATAACACTGCAGCGCCACCTAGTGGCAAAGAGGTAAGTAATGAACCATCAATTTGCACCAAAATATATTCTTGACAATACAAAAAAAAAAAAGACAGAATTAACAAAATTAAGTTATTTACAAAACTTATGTTTTGGTCTGTGATACTTACAGAACATGTTTGCCTGGTACATTGTATACATGGAATAAATTAATACACCTTTGACCACTAGGACTCTTGCTTTTATTTCTTTGTAATTAAGTGCAAAATTATACTATGGGCTGTCTGTGATGTGCCAATCTCAGGTATTGAACCTCAGATTTTAATGTTAGGAAGCTTTACATTTATGTAACTACTTTAAGTTACAGGTTACAATGAGACAAGTTGTCTAAAGAATGGGTTTTATCTTTAAGTTACAGGTTACAATGAGACAAGTTGTCTAAATAATGAGTTTTATCTTTAAGTTACAGGTTATAATGAGACAAGTTGTTGAAAGAATGAGTTTTATCTTTAAGTTACAGGTTATAATGAGACAAGTTGTTTATATAATGAGTTTTATCTTTAAGTTACAGGTTACAATGAGACAAGTTGTTTATATAATGAGTTTTATCTTTAAGTTACAGGTTACAATGAGATAAGTTGTCTAAAGAATGAGTTTTATCTTTAAGTTACAGGTTATAATGAGACAAGTTGTTTAAATAATCAGTTTTATCTTTAAGTTACAGGTTATAATGAGACAAGTTGTCTAAAGAATCAGTTTTA